TAGTGTCTCAGATATGTCTTGTCTTTCCATGTGACTGAAATGGAATAGTCCATTATTTATGAGGTATTTTGGCATGATGTAACAGTTTTTTGATCTAAGAAAGACAGGGGCAAACATCATCATTATTATTAGTAGTAGTAGTATTAGTATTATTAGTATTAGTAGTATTGTTATTATTAGTATTGTTATTATTAGTATTATTATTATTAGTAGTAGTATTATTAGTATTATTATTATTATTAGTAGTAGTAGTATTATTATTATTATTAGTAGTAGTAGTAAAAAAAAAAGAAGATTTTTATCACAGCACTTGGGCATTATATCTTCTAGTGTTACTCAAGTGTCTTTGTCATATTCACTTACCTTTTAGGAATATTGAACGTGAGAACCCTTCATTTTGATTCATTGGCTTTATTTTCCTTTCTGTCTTTATCATATCAGTTTTTTTTCAGTCTTTATTCTGTTTGTCTATACTCTTTCATTTTATCATTGCCTACCATGTTTAAGATAAATTTGATAAAATAAATTTATCTATAAAATGAATTAGAATAAACATAATTTTAACTTTTAGTATTCTGTTGGTAGCTTTGTTTGCTAAGAAAAAAGTTGCTCTTGTCACTGTACAAGACTACAGTCACTAAATGATAGGATTTGAATTTTGAGATTGGGTTGTCACATCTGGCTATGGCAACAGCGAAAATTATTTTGATTGAAATAAAAAATGGGACTATTTTTGAGGGACCTTGAAAAAGAATTTACTGGAAGTACTAATGTTTATGAAGAACTCTGTGTTAAAAAAGATTTTAATCTAGACCCAAATGGCAAACATTTACTGTTTCTGTATAAAGTCATGTAAGTATATTAAAATGTATGTTTTATGGTACTTTTTGCTGATAACATTTGAACATTGATGTGGTATTTTAAAAAAATTCAACTGAAGTTTGCTGATATCTTATTTTGCAAGTACACTCACTAAATTGAATTTCAACTTGGTGGAAAGAAAATTCACATTTTCATAAAACACTGATTCTTGTGAGATGCAGTTTTTTTTATGTAAGTTTTTATTGGAACAGAAAGCACACAGATGTAATGTCTGTTCTTTTTAAGTTAGCAAGAGTTATAGATTTACAGAAATAACTGGGATGCTGATATAGAAATGTTCTAGTGAGAAAACAATATTGTCTGCTTTCAAATCTTTTTGATTAATTGTTAGGTTTTCAAAAGGAAACGTGTGTAGTGCAGCCAACCCATCTCCAGAAATTGGAACAATTCTGTGATTGTTTTGTAGATATTAATGATCTTTATAACTCCCTTTACTTTAAATAAAAAGAAAATTTAATCCATGTAGATTTAAGTCATTGATGAATCATTGTCAGTTTTTATTATTCATGTTGCCCATCATATGACTATGTTAAACTGATAAATTTGACTATGTACTCTGAAACAATAACAACAGTGTTCATCTCAGTCAGCAATCTCTGCACCCATAGCTAACAAATGACAAAGCTGAACTATCCTATTTAATATTGTCTTTGAAATTTATATGCAAATATTGAGAGAAATTTGACTGATTTTATGACACCTTTACCTTTGTGACAAGTTATTAAATTAATTATGGGTGGGACATGTGATAAAAAATTCAATGAATCACAAAACTTGTAAACAATGTCCATTTCTTCATAACATTATTGCCAGGTTCTTTTTGTTGAAATGAATCATTATTTGGGATGGTGCCTTCTAATTTCTCTGTAGGCAGAAGTCTTCTATTTATCATGTTTACAAAGTAACACAGTCCTTATATATATGGTTCTGTTTAATTCATTATCCACTAATGGCTTTACGAAGGTTTTAATTAATAATCAGTGCAAAATTCATAATGCTAGTAATTCAGACACGCCAAAGAGAAGCTATACAATTTTTTTGTGATGTCAATGAACACTCATTGCCACTTTTGTAATGTCAACAAATACTCGTTTCTTTTGTAATGCTTGTTGTAGTAAAGACTTTCTAATTGCAGATGCAACTAGAATAGCGCCGTTGAACAACACTGGTGTCAGACGCCTTGATAATACTTGCTGGAAATGTAACCACCATATAGTAATCTGAATAGTAATCCGTACAGTGATCAGTATAGAGAAATAGTATAGTGAACAGAGTAGAGAATTTTTGTTCGTATAGTAATAGAGGATAGAATAGAAATAGTGATTGTTTAGATGTCATGATACTGTCTATGGGTTTTCCTTATGCTCATGTGATCTGCTTAATTCAGTAATGGGATTGCCTGTGTTTGCTCACTGGTGATCTATGTTCAAACTCAAGTGTTGGCAGCAACACTTTATTCCTGTATAGCACAATTAAGTGAAAGTTCTTCACTTAAAGAAAAAACAAATCATATACTGAGGTTGCTAAGATCTACAGGAAGAATGAATCTTGTATTCAGCATATAACTTTTTATCCAGTACATTGTTATAATTGTTCTATGTCACAAAAAGGTATGCTAGTTTTGAGTACCAGTTCTACCCGTTTTTTCATGATCACAATTGGTGATACTATGGCAAAACTCCACACACAAAGCATGATCACCCGACTCTTCAGCTTCTGCTCTTCTCACACTCATACTCATTTTATTGAGTGACATACAAATTTCCAAGCCTCAATTTATCGAGTGGCTGAGGCTCAGAAATTTGCATAAACTACAAATTCATCTTACAAAGTCTCTGAGCTATGAGATCAGGTTTTTCTTGCTTTTGGATTGGCCATCTAGCCTGGTGGGCGAAATAAAGGGTTCAGTTTGTAATTCCTATCACCTGAAGAAGTCCAGAGCATACAACGGCCTAAACGTGAATCTGACAAAGATGAGGACAACAGTCTGAACAATGTAAATAATGTAAATAATTGCAATACCTCATCTCAGAAATATAGACAGATACAAATGTATTTTACAAGAAAATCTACATTCAGAAGAGGTTATAGAAATAGTTTTCCAAATTATTCCTTTTACCTGTTTTTTTTTTTTCCTTCCTCTCTAGCTTTTTTCCCACTCTACCTTTCTTTCTTCACACCATCTTCTCTCCCTCCTCCTTTCCTTAATTCTCTTTGCTTAATATCATTATGGTCAGAAAGGTGGGAAAGGGGGGGGGGTGCTGTGTACAGATATTACACTCTGATCATTGGGAGAAAAGTGTCAGGGTCAGGCAGAGAAACAAGCAGAATAATTGTATAGATAATTCTGTCTGCAATTTCTTCAAGTTCACATAACTTTCTGGCTTTACCCTAAAAGTTTTTCTTGCATTGTTCCACTGATATGAGGAATGATTTGCTTTTACTAAACAGACTCATTGACAGGTGCTTAGTCATTATTGAACCAGTTTGTACCTGGGTTTTTTTGCCTCTATGAATCAGTGTGACCTCTGAGTATTTTTTTGGCACACTGGAGTTGGAGGTGATAGTCATGGGGGTAGCAGTGGTGTGGTGGTGTTGCTTACCTTCATTTTGTACTTAACTAAAACAGCTACCCCAAATTATTTTGTTATTCACTCTGAAACTTTGGGTGCTCAGTTTGGCCATGGTTTTTGCTTTGTCTTGTCTGGGTCAGAACTACCTGGGGGAACATTTACCTGTTTGCTAAATCTCCTCTGCATCCTCACTGTATGATTAAGGTAAAAAAAAAATGCATGTAAATTCTTTTCATATTCCACTCTACTCTCTTTATTTTGGTGGTGGGCATTAGATGATGCCAAAGAATTCAGAAATGTACTTGAAACAGTCCACCACTTTCTCAAAAATGACTATGAAATTTTAGTAAATTATAGCAGTGAAGTTTCAAAATACTCATGATCTGTTTATTGTCATCACAGCTAATATCATCATCATCATCATCACCAACACCAAAATCAGTTGATCCTTAACACTAAATTTAGAATGAATATATTCAAGCCAATAAATTTCATATTTTTTTTATAATATAAAGTTGTTTTGAATAATGAGTGTAAATTGTTCTACCTTTTTTAATCCTTTGCTAAATATTATTAAATAATTATTATTGCCTAAAAGATCTTATCCCAATGTGATCAAAATAAATGGCTTCATCTGTAGATTTGTAGACTTACACCATCACATAGGTCTTTTCTGGTGTTGTGGAGTAATTTTTCATTGTAATGAAGATTATGTTATCTATAGGGTGTTGTGTGAGAAGCATTTTTTTGTTGAAGTAATTTTCTTTTTTATAGAGTTTTGACCACATTTGGAAACTGTTTTCTATGGGTTCATACATAGTGTTATTAAGTGAAGGTTTGGTGTTTTTTGGAATTTTTTAATCAGAAGAGCTTCTATTCAATGTAAATATATAAATAAATGTGTTAAAATATTTTAATGATTTAATCTAATATAAAACTTCTTAAAACTTAAATCTCCATATAAGGCACAAATATCAATTTTTATATCACCAAAATAAATATGCAAATTTCCTTTGTTGGCATCTTGTGAAAGGTTATCTTGTCCAAAGCAACAACTCACCTCTTGCTCCAAGTTAAGATTTCCCTATTAATATTTAATAATAGTGCTTTTATGTGAAACTGATATAATGAAATAATAAAAATGATATAATGAAACTGACATAATGTATAATGCAGGATTATGTAAACTATCTTAAAAGCAGTTTTCTGTTTTAAATTTAATGTGCAATTCATCTCTTTTCAAATGCTATATTTCAAGTGTTAGGATTTCTTTGATTATTATTTTTTTTTTTTTAATGAGACTTTTAAACTTGACACATACTGTAAACAAATTGTGTGAATTTTCCATTTCCATTAAGTGTGTTCAATAGTTTCCGGAACACTTTTTCTTTTTTTAAAAACTAGCCTCAATACGTAATGGGGGGGGAAAAATTTTTTACAGAGACTATTTCTAATGTTTTATTTATATTTTTGATCATGACATTTAAAACCTTTTACATTCACGTCTTTCTTTATAAGATTATTTGGGCATATTCTTATATCCTGTTGAAACACTGGTTCCCATATAATCACTGAAGTTAAGCAACGCTGAGCCTGGTCAGTACCTAGACAGATGACTGCTTGGGAATGCCAGGTGCTTGGATAAACAGGATGATGGATAATGATTGGTGGAGATGGAGTTTCAAATGATTCAGCTTCATTATATTCGATTATGCACAAATATCCTTGGGTAAGGTAGGAATTCACCTCTTCTTCCCCCACCTCGCCAGCTATGACTCATTTAGTAAGCTTTGTATCACTAAATTATTATCTCTAAAAAAAAAAAGTGATTCTTACAATCAAAAATTATTTTCTGGCTTTAAATAACCTTCAAAGGGTTGATAAGTGAGTAAAAATAGCTATGATCCATGGAAAAATATTTGGGATTTCTATGAAATTATTAAAAAAAAATGAACAGTTTCTTTTTTTTACTATCAGAATGTAAAAAGATACTTTTTATTATTAGATTGTAAAAAGATACTTCTCTGAATTCTGGAACTGTGTTATTTTTTCTTTTATTTTGTCATTAATAAACATTTCAGCCATTCAAGGGATCCCCCCCCCTTAAAAAAAACAAAGAAAAACAAAAAATACAAAGTGTGGAAAAGCTAATTTTGTTTGCACATTTCAGCAACAATTTGTTGGTATGTTGCTTGCCTGTTTATCTCTAATTTGAAAGTTTGAATCAGGGCAGCATTCGCTTCTTTAGCATGTTCAACAAAAGGGACACTGGCTTTTATGCAATAAGATTATATGACTAGCCATGGGTAATATCCAGTAACTTGTATTTAAGCTCAAATTCTTTAGCCTTCTTCAGGTCTGGTCTATAATCTTGTTGAAGAAAAACTACTCAAATTCCTAATGCAATAAAAAAATGGAATAAGAGAAAAGAAAAAGTGAAATATAGTTGAGATATTGGGCCATTACCATAACAAGAGATTTGGAAAAGTTAGCAAAAAGTAGCATGACAACAGAATATAGCCAACAGACTGGATATTATTTAGAATAGAACCATTAACAAGACTTTGTACTTGAGATTTCTACTAATAGTCTGAGTGAGCTGTTGTGTTAGGAGACCTGGAGAAAATTATATTATGATTGATGTTAAACAAATAACATAAAATATTCAAAACTTATCTTCTTGATTCAAAGTATTACAGATGTCTTAATATTATACACTTTAATGACAAAGATTACTTGCTTTAAAAGTGTTAATCTACAGAACTACACTAGTTGACTACACTGGTTGCCTGTTTTTTTTTTTTTTTTTTTTTTTTGTGGTGCTGACAGGAGCAAAACACAGTTTTTGTTGTTATAATTGATAGTTTTACTCAAAAATTCCGGAGAGCTCAAGGAATACCTTCTTTAATTTAGAAATGGATCATTATCATTCTGAAATTTGTTGGATTATGGATCTCATTCTTTTTGTTACTTTTGTTGTCACCACAATGTTTCAGTCAATCCTTTTGTTGGCTTTCTTCAGGTGTGCAATCTGTATGAAAAGTGGGAGCCATTATACATTTTTCTGGTTTATACTACTGAAGAAAAAAAAGAAATGGAAATATGCCCCCCCCCCCAAACATATGGATTATATTCTTGAAAATGAAAGAAGAAAAAAAATAAGATCAATAGGCAGAGCAACTTGTTGAAGGCTCAAAGAATGTTATTTTCATTTCTAAAGCTTGGCTACTTGTCCTGTTTTCTTTCATACACTTAGATCTTGCTATTTCTTCTGCATATTGTCAGTTATTAGATTATTTGTTCTGGTGTCATAAGGGGCAAAAGAAAGCAACCTTATTTCATTGCAATACGTAATGAGTTTTGTTTCCAAAATTCCCATTGGCTATTAATCCTCAACCAACCAAGGTCCCTCTCCCATCATCCAATCATATGAGAATTGCACCTTTGCTGCCAAGAGTCACGAAAGAGAATCTAGCAAATATGCTAATCCATTAGTTGGTTTTTCATGATGATTACTATGATAGTAAGAATGCAGGACTGGGAGCAGGAAGTAGTTTGTTTGGTTTCCTGGATAGGGGGAGATTTGGGGACTGATCCCGTGGAACTTGGACAGAGCATTTGATGAGGACTTAATGGGCAAGTTCAAAATGTGTTGCTGACCATTTCCGTATTGTTCTTTTCAGATGTTCCTCTACTTCCAGTGCCTTCTTCCCCTTTGCTCATTTTCTTCCTCATGGGTCTCACTGTTTGTTATCACTAATGAAGACAAGTGATCAGATTGCTACATCCAAGATTGGACTTCTGTCAATCCACGGTGTCTTCTACAATCACCCTTTCACTTTCTATTATTCTTTCTTCTCCAATTACTCACCCTCTCTTTATCAGACTTATCAAACACTCCTTGTCCTTCTCTCATTTTCTTATGTTAATTTTGTTTCTCTCTCTCACCTGATTATTTTATTTATATATATTTTCACTTATTCTTTTCTTTGTGATTATTTTTCTTCTCTAATTACATATCTTTATTCTACATGCCAGAATAAAATAGGAAACACTAATTCTTTACAGTAGTAGGCACAATGTTGTCAGCATTAGCATTCATATTGATAGCATTAAAACAAACTAATACATGGTGTTTTATATATATATATATATATATATATATATATATATATATATATATATATATATATATATATATAAGGCTCAAACACTAATATTCCATAGTTATAACTTATTACAGTGGAATTGTAATCACAGTCCAAATCATCAAACCTACAATTCCAGTGTAATAAATTATAACCATGGAATATTAGTGTTTGAGCCTTTTACATTATATTCTTACTCTGTCCTGGACATTGAATTCTACCTAGATTCTATCCTCTTTGGAATTTATGTGTGTGTGGGGGGTATATATATATATATATATATATATATATATATATATATGTGTGTGTGTGTGTGTGAAAATGTGTGTGCATATATATATATATATATATATATATATATATATATATATATATGTTTTATTAAAGTCCTCATTATATTTCTCTCATTTTTAATTAAGTTTTACTTTTCTTTCAAAATGAACTTTGGACAATTTCTGACAGAATTTCCTCCTTGTCTGAAAAGGAATATTAGAAATTATTTAAAGTCAGTCGTTAAAATTAATTGATGCAAAATGTTTGTCATTTTTAATATTATTTGCCTTAAAGAACATTTGTTGCTTAAACATACAGAATGTTTATTTAGTCTAGGAAATCGAACACAAAATAGACTACATTTGCTGTAGCCTAGTCCAACACCTGAAATGCTATAAAACCAAAGTATTAACCTAAATATCCTCATCAGATCACAAAAAATTAACTTGTTCTATCAAGTGTTCCAAGAAGTAACACTCAAATCTTTACAAAACAGAAATTATGCCTAGTGAATTTACAAATTTGAAAAGATGGGCACTGATCTTTTAAGTATTCTATACCACATCCCAAACAAATCTGTCAATAGAAGACCATAACCCTGCTTTCCCTCTGAGGTCAATGTATTGATGATGAGGGGGTATCTATGCTGATGACATAGGTGTTCATAGTTGGGATAAGAATGATCTTGAACAAAAAATCAACATCCACTACCAAGTGTTCCAAGAAATAGAACTCAAAATAAACCTTTCAAAAACAGAAACTATGATCTGGAATTGGAATGAAAGCAGTGAAAGTACATACCCGGAATGCATCATAAAAATTCAGGATGTGTATTTAGTAAATACTAAACACTTCAAATTCCTCAGTGCATGGATCAGTTATGAAAAATTTAGCTATTGTGAATATAGTACTGAAAGTGCATATTTTGTTATTATTCAATTACTATTTACTGTTTTTCCTTTTTTTAATCAATTCACCCCAAGCAAGGAAATAATGCCATTGTGATGCAAGGAGCTACTGGGAGTGAAAGAGACTGATAAGACTTTAGAAGAAACTGGAAACCCGATATTAAATAGGAAACAAAGGATAAAACCAGGGAGGAGTGTGAACAGGATGATAGGCGAACATATCTACTGCTATTAAATATAAGTTTTGTTTTTTTTTTTTACTTTTAACTATGTTATCTTTCAAAATATGCTTGCAGCACCTTATACTCAAATCTACGTTCATCTTATCTGGTTTCTGCACATTGTGAGTGCCTTCTCTCGACTGAGAAAAACACTGGTGTTATATAGCTCTCCCAGTCCCAGACCCATGTTGACTATTGGCTAATACCTGCCCAATATCATTCTCATGAAAATAGGCAGCACCACCTACTCTAAGTAGAAGGTCTTTTTTCAACAGCCCATTGTGGAAAGGGATGCAACTCTTGGTGTTTATAACACCACATACAACCAACTCACTTTTATTGGGCTAACCTGATTCTCTGTTACACTTTTTAACATGTACATAAATGAATTTTATCAAAAATGTAGACTCATAGACATGTTTATTTTTTTAAATGTTGGTCTTTATTTAAATTCTTCAATGATTAAAAGAATAGTTTTTGATATATATTTTTTTATTTTTTAAAGTTATTTTGCAAGCTAAAATAACTGGTTAGATTTCAATCATTCCACTCTTTGCTCTGTAACATTAAAACTGGACTTTACATTCACGAATCTATCAGTGGCAGACTGGGTCTAAAAATATAAGTTGCCAGGAGACAAAGGGGGCCCACCTACTAGACTGCTATCATTTAATTAATTTTCATAATGAATAATATATATATATATATATATATATATATATATATATATAAAGGGAGGCATGGTGGAGTAATGGATAGCAGCTCGGATTGAGGAATCGGAGAGCTAAATTCATATTCCAGTTTAATCCATTACATCCACTTATGTACTAATACCCATGGGAATGGTATGAATCTTTTTCTTCTACCCCCAGCTATGGGTAAATAGCAGGACAGACCGGGTTCTATAGCCTTGGATGGCAGTTAGTCTACTGCAAAAAGAAATGGCAACCTACTGCAGGAAAAAATCTGCCTCATCAATTATGTATCAAAAGATATATGATCACCTAAGCATGTATCTCGCATGGCACATAACTGACTGATATATATATATATATATATATATATATATATATAAAAAGAGTACAATT